AGCACACACCTTAGACACGTGGGCTTCCTCATTCCTTGTCTGATCCTTTGGTTCACCTGGACAGAAAGGAATAGTGCGAAGCATAGGGATACTACTTTTATGTTTTCTCACATTGTTTTGCAGGTTGAGAGACACATTTCACTCCTCATCTCATTGGGCAGGCTCACGGCTCGAGACTGGACAGGCTGCACGCCACCACAGCGCTACATGGTGGCCCCACCACCGCCTGTTCGGACTCCTCGGGCCAGAGCTGTTGTTTGGCTTCGACCTAACTCTCCTTGGGTCAAGCTGAACACTGATGGCTCCTTCGATCGCCACACTGGAGTTGCCGGAGGAGGAGGCTTGATTCGGGACCATAGCGGCGCCCTCATCACCGCCTTTCACGCGTCCATTCAGGCCTCCTCGAGCTACGACGCAGAGATTCAGGCACTACAGATTGGCCTTCAGATAGCTGCCCACATCTCTAGTCATATATGGATCGAGCTGGATGCTGCGGCTGTCGCCACCCTCCTGACTTCGGGCCATCAGGGCTCGTGGCAGATTCAGCACCCGCTTCTGCGCATTAGAGATCTACTTCAGTCCGTCCATCACAGGATCACGCACATTTTCCGTGAGGGGAACAGACCGGCTGATTACCTGGCCAGCCTTGGCGTCACCATACCAGGCACACATACATTCCAGACCGACACTGCTCCACTCCGCCTTCGCACTGTTGTACGGATGGACCAGCTTGGATACCCAGCGTTCCGCTTTCACTAGTATAGGATTTCTAGTTTCATTAGTATAGACTTATCTCGGGCATCTGTTAGCCCGAAGATCGACTTTATTATGTAGTTTTTTGCTTCTTTTTCATTTTTTGGTTTTTTCTTTTTTGTTTTTCCTGTTTTTGTTTTTGATTTTCAGACTATGTAGACCTCTGTATCTGGTTCGTTGACATTTTGGGCTCCCGCTTTTGGGGCCCTGATCTATGCACAGGTTGGGGATCCAGCCCAATCCCCCGCCCTTCCGGGGCGTTGTTGTTAAAACCTAGCAACAAGACACAACTAACCTAACAAGAAAGAAATAACATAACAAAAGACAAATGGTCAACGGTCAACGTCGGAGTCAACGGTCAACGCCGGAAGTCAACGATTTTCGCCGGAAGTCAACGCCGGAAGTCAACGGTCAACGTCGGAGTCAACAGTCAATGGTCATAATAATATTTAAATAATTAAAAATAAAGAATTAAATAATAAAAATAAAAAATTATTATTTAAATCAAGATCTAAATCTTGTGGCTAGGAATGAGTCTCACGTCCTCACTTTAAATAATGGGATGCATTGGAACCAATCCCTATATATATATATCAATATCAAGTAATTTCATGAGGAATAATATGGTGTAAATTAACACTTTATTTTTATAATTTAATTTAAAATTGTGCTAATATCCTCTTTGAAAATCCATGATAAAGTTCATCTTGATGTCGACTAAAATATATAGAGAAATATAAATTTTTTCGGAACTAAAATCGGACTTAAATTCCGACTACAATCGAAAACCGAAAGCTCGAATATTTCAAATATAAATCAAATATACTCTTAATAAACCTTCTTGTCAAAATAAATTATCTCCAATCATTAACATCTACTTAATCTTTATAACTTATCCATTAAATCATATAAGTCATTGATTTCATTTAGTCGATTAACTCGATTTAATGAAAAACACTTCCGATTTCACTTTAAAGTCGAGCAAAGTGAATCAGTTCTATTTATTAACTGAACGGGGCGTTACACAATCCTATCTACTAAAAGGGTATCAAGATGTGTGGCCAAGATTTAACTCTTTATTTAAATAATAATTTTTTATTTTAATTATTTTAGTTATTTAATATTATTTTGACCATTGACCCTTGACCGTTGACTCCGACGTTGACCGTTGACTCTAACATTGACCATTGACTTCTGGCGAAAATCGTTGACTTTTGGCATTGACCATTGACCATAATATGTATTGTGTATGAAGTAAATATGGTGAGGCAAAGTTAGTGTAAATATGTTGCAAAGTTATTGAAACAAAACAGATGCATAATTGGTGATACAGTGTTGCATAGTTAGTGTCAAAATGTTGCATGGTTATTGAAACAAAGATGCAAAAAGATGTTGCATAGTAAGTGATAAAAAGTGTTGCAATGTTAGTGTAAAAATGATGCATAGTTAGTGTAAAAATGTTGCATGGTTATTGAAACAATGATGTAAAAAATATGTTGCATAGTTAGCGATAAAGTGTTGCAAAGTTAGTGTAAAAATGATGCATAGTTAGTGATAAAGTGTTGCACAGTTAGTGTAACAATGTTGCATAGTTAGAGAAAAAGTGATGCAAAGTTAGTGTAAATATGTTGCAATGTTATTGAAACAAAACAGATGCATAATTAGTGATAAAGTGTTGCACAATTAGTGTCAAAATGTTGCATTGTTATTGAAACAATGATGCAAAAGATGTTGCATAGTTAGTGATAAAAAGTGTTGCAATGTTAGTGTAAAAATGATGCATAGTTAGTGTAAACATGTTGCATGGTTATTGTAACAATGATCTAAAAAATATGTTGGATAGTTAGCGATAAAGTGTTGCAAAGTTAGTGTAAAAATAATGCATAGTTAGTGATAAAATGTTGCACAGTTAGTGTAACGATGTTGCATAGTTAGAGAAAAAGTGACGCAAAGTTAGTGTAAATATGTTGCAAAGTTATTGAAACAAAACAGATGCATAATTAGTGATAAAGTGTTGCTCAGTTAGTGTCAAAATGTTGCATTATTATTGAAACAATGATGCAAAAAATGTTGCATAGTTAGTGATAAAGTATTGCACAGTTAGTATAACGATGTTGCATGGTTATTGAAACAATAATGCAAAAACGATGTTGTATAGTTAGTGGTAAAGTGTCGCATAGTTAGTGTAAAAATGTTGCATGGTTATTAAAACAATGATGCAGAAACACTGTACACGAGAGACATATTTATTGTAACAAACCAGATACATATTTATTTCAACATAGGTGCATAAGTATTCCAATTACTTAATCTGAGCCATTGATCAACACAAAATCAATGGTTAAGAGGTGTCCTCATTTTAAGAGTTGTCCTCATTTGATCCTCCCCCTATATGTATATATATAGAGAGAGAGAAGTGATCATATGAGAATAGGAGATAGTGAAAGAAATAAGAATGATCATGGATCATTGGATAAATTATATCAATGAACATGATAAGTCAAAATTGAGTTACAAGTCAAACATGCAGTGGCAAAATCGTAATTATATTACTATATCATTGACAAATAAATAACTAGAAGGGCAGTTTTATAATTTCACCAAACAATCAAATAAGTGGGCCCCACCAATAAATATTGCCCACGAGCCACGATGATCCATCTCTCCTCTCTCTTCTCTCCCCCTATATATCTCTCTCTCACGCAGATCTCACGCTCCGTCCACCCGCCGGCAAACATCCTGAGCAACCTTCCTGCCGCCGCAGAACTTCCTCGCCAGCCTTTCCTTCGCCGCCTGACAACCACCAGACAACTAATTACACCAGACAGCCGCCGTCGGAGTTCGCCGTCATCGCCATCCTAGATCGCCGTCGCCTCCGTCAACACCTGCTGTCGTCATCCATATTTTCAGGCACACTGGACATGTCGCCTCCGTCAACACTCCGACGTCGTCATTAGCCGTTCGTCTTGGTGCAGCCGACAACAACCCTCCAACCACTGAAGCCCGCCGCCTCAGCCACATGGTTTTAAGAATTTGACCCTTCCAACCTGCCAATCTTTGCAAGACTTTGTCCGACCGCCCTCAGCCAATGGTCATTGCCAGCGCGCCCTCAGCCAATGGTCCGTCGCCAGCGCGCCCTCAGCCACCGGAAGACGGCATGAGAGGAAAAACGGCGGAGGTGGACGGAAGAGACGGCTGGAAGTCGGGCGCCTGAGACCTTTTTTAGATTTTGTTTGCTCAATTTTGTACATTAATGAACAAGGACTTGATTTTATAAATTTGATAACATTTAGTGGCTTAATTACAATTTCAATCAGTTTAATAAATTACAATTGAGTTAATGGGTGAATTTGTAACTAATCAAACTATAAATTAATATTTTAACATTTCATTTAATATTTACTATTTTTATAGTTTTTTATTGAAATGAATAATAATAAAAAATAACAATATTTTTTATGTAATCGGCCGTGCGATTATCGATTATCTAAATAACCAAAAAATATAAAAGTTAATATTTATAATATAGTTTATCTTTTATTTTTGTTATTTGAATAAAAAGATGATATCATATAAAAATAACCGATATATAAAATAATAATAATAATAATAATAATAATAATAATAATAATAATAATAATAATAATAATAATAATAATAATAATCCAACCAAAATATAAAATTTCGCGCTAATTTTTTGTTCGTTGGATCTCGTTCGATTTTGTGCAATCTGGTGGACATTTATGTGCAATCCGTATAACCCTAATGTGCACTCGCAATACAAAAAATTACAGATAGAAAAATATTATTGANATGTGATGGATATTAAAGTATAATGTAGGTTCGTTTTATAAATTTATATATTGCGTAATATTTTGGTGGGAGCTGTTAACACTAATTAATTGTGGAGTGTGATAATAAAGTGCCACGTGATATTTTATATGGTGCAACGTGTTGTTTTAGGCAAAATTACAAAAATGATACACTAAGTTGGGCGTTGTCAACAAAAGAGATAATTTGTTGTCCCTCACGAAAAAGATACACTTAGTTGGCTTTTTGCACGAAAAAAATACAAATTTACAAAAACGATATACTAAGTGTATCGTTTATGCCTGACTTTGGATTGTTTATGCCTGACTTAGTGTATCGTTTTTGTAAATTTGTATCTTTGTCGTGCAAAAAGCCAACTAAGTGTATCTTTTCCGTGAGGGACAACAAATTGTCTCTTTTCTTAACAACGCCCCATTTGGTGTATTTTAATAATTTTAATTATATTTCAATTTAATCCATGAGTCAAATCTGTAATTATTTAAAGTTAATAAAAAACTATTTCTTATACATATTGTTATGCCTATATTAAATAATAAATAAAAAATTAAATAAAGTAATATAAAATATTAAAATAATATAAAAATAATGTATAACAATAAAAAAATTATGTATATTAAACTATTTTTTGAATACACATAATTTATATAAAAAAAGGTATAAATTATTGCACTTTATATATCAGAATGTTGCACTTTATAAAACAACAGGCAAATAGACCCCTATACATAATCTAATTCTAAAAAATGTGGCCCAAATCCACAGTCTATTTTCATCCACTTTTCTGGCAACCGGGCTTCAGTCAAGGACATGAGGGACCCTCCGATGCTGTCGGTGTGGCCCCTGCCGGCCAACAGTCACAGAGGCGACGTGCGGCCGCTCACGACGGCCTCACCAGCGAGCTTTGACCTCCACGATTGAGAAGCCGTACATGAGGAGCTATCTGCTGACGCCGGGATTGATGACTTTTCCGTAGACGGTGGACATGGCGAGCCTTCCGTCAACACCGGTGCAACTCTGCTGACTGCCAGGTGGAATTGCATGCGGTAGCTCGCGTCGGGCTCCATGTGAGATCTGACCTCTGGCGAAGTACGTACTCCAAGAAGTTGACGTTGCTGGTGGCTGGTTAACGGTGATCGGCGGTGGCTGTTGTCTGGTGGCGGGTGACATGTGGCTGTTGTCCACGGTGGTGGCAGATGGTGGTTGGCTGTTGTCTGGTTGCGGTACGTCCACCGGTGGCTGGTTGATGGTGGCCGGCAACAAAGTATGCGGTGGTCGAATTTGTCTCAGTCGGTGTGTGTGCGTATTGTGTGTGGTGTTTGTTTGAGTTGTGTGTGTGTGTAATAAATGTTATGTGTATTGTGCGTGTGTTGTGTGTGTGCATGCGTGTGTTGTGTGTGTGTGGCGTGTGTATGCATGTGTTGGGTGTGTGGGGTTGATGATGTGGCATGATGATGTGGGTGTGAGTGTAATGGTAATGTCCAAATTACCCTTAATGAAGGTGTAATTGTGGCTTTTTTTAGCCATTAGATCATCCGATCTAATGGCTATGATTTATTCTTATTTCTTTCACCAAGCACCATTCTCACTTGAACCTAACCCTATATATATATATATATAGATATAGATATGGTGCTTAGTGAAAGAAATGAGAATAAACCGTGACCATAAGATCGAATGATCTAATGATTAAAAAAAAGTCAAAATTATACCCTCATTAAGGGTAATGTGGTATTTTTGCACACCAAACAGTGGGCCCATCTTCCACCTCACCCCTCTCCCTCTCTCTCTCGTTCCCTCACTTCTCTCACATACACAGACACGCCACATCACCCCAACCATGTTGGGATCTGTGTGGATCTCGTTATGTACAAATCACGAATTCAATAACAAACGTAAACCTATGCGCAACGGATCTAAAGGTTTGACGTAGCGAACTTACGGCTTAAAATTGTGGGGATCTGGCTGATCTTCCGGATGGCCGTACACAGTTGGTAAATCAAATAAACAATTGATGAATATATATTATCACACAATAGTATACATATAATCAACACAATAATATCACTTAGGCATTTAATTCAAATAAATAATAATTATGCCAATAACAATATTCGAAAAAATCCATAATCGAACGGGGCGCTACAGTTTTGGATGGTTTGTCTGCTATGTTTCATGATTTGATTATTATTCGTTATGGAAATCGTTTCATTTGTTCTAGTTCATTAGTTGGCAATTTATATGTTCTTAAACCAAACTATCCTAGAGTGCAACAAACTGAATTGAATAATGTCTTGACTAAGTTTAATAAATGGAAGGAGTCTTCACAGAAAAATCAAGCATATCTTTGGCACCTTAGACTTGGCCACATCAACCTTAGGAGGATTCAAAAGTTGGTATCTAGCGGACATCTCGGTCCACTAGAAGATCAATACGTGACTCGCGAATCGTGCCTGGAAGGTAAGATGGCAAGAGGCCGTTTTCGGAAAGGGGGTATAGGAGCCAAGAAGTGCTAAGATTGATTCATTCTGATTTGTGTGGTCCTATGTCGATCCAAGCTAGAGATGGTTTGTGCGCCCCATTTTTTTCGGAATTATTTAGAGATTATTATTGTTATTTATATTATTTTATTTTATTTTCTGAAATTATTTTATTCGAGCTCGATAATTTTATTTCGATTAAATGCTCATAATTGTTAATTGTATTAAATTATAAATCAAGCCGTATTATGTTAGCAATTTTTATTTTATTTTCGGTCGAACCGAAAAATCGTTAATAACCGGGACTTTGAACCGAACGAGCAACCAGGCCGAACTCTCGAACCGGGCTACCGAACCACCCCGCTCATTTCTCCCAGCCCGGCCCGCATCCGCAGCCCCCAGCCCGCGAGCATCTCCCAGCCCGGCCCGGCCGCGTCGCCCCTCCCCTCTCTCTTGCATGCATGGCAGTTTAATTTGAATTTTTGAATTCAAAGGGAGATCTTATCCCATATTTGCAGCCCCTCATCCCCTTCATCTCTCCTTTTTACCAAGATTCTTAAGTTACAAATTTATGTCATTAAAAAAGGATAACTCTCATCTCCCTCCCTTAATTTCTCACCCCTCTATCTCACTCTCGCAAAGCTCTCTCTCTCTCTCCCCTCTCCCTCACCTTCGATCTCAGCATCTCTCTCTCCCTTCTCTCTTGGTCGTCAGAAGCTCCTCAACACTGCACACGATCATCAGAAGTCGTCGCCCCGCCCCGACTCCTCCGCGCACGCAGCCAAAACCCGCCACCTGCGAGTCGCCCTTTCGTCCTCCTCATCGCGCCTGCAATTTCCGGCCACCATTCCTCGCTCGCCGACCAGCCCTCCGTCATCTCTGGTCGCCATCCTCACGTGCGAGTCGCCTCCGAACGCCTAGCACGCGGACGATTTCCCCGCCCTTAGGACTCGAACGTCAACGAGCTTTTCCGTAGAACCGAACCTCGTTCGTTTTTCTCCCCATTGGTGTTTGGTTATTTTTTATACTAAACTCCATGAATTCTATGAGTTTATTTGCTAAATGGCAGGGATTATATTATAGCATGAATTATTTGATTGAATATAAAATGAATTGTTATTGTATATAGAGTGTTATAGTAGATCTATAGGGTTTAATTTGAAACCCTTATGATCTGAGACTATCTCGTGAAAATCTTTTGGAATATGGAACATCTTTGTGTCCTGATCGCAATGGTCTTGTGTAACGCCCCACTTTTATTTGCCGAAAATCAGAATAAATTTTTCAAATTTATTTCGAAACACCTGAGGCACTACCCCTTTTTAAATCGAACTTCAATACTTAACCAATTTGTCAATACTCAATCACCAATCATCAACAATAATACTAACTCCCAAAAACGAGTTTTCCAAAATTTCATAAATCATCACCCAAACCGGGTTCGAACAATATTCATAAATTCTAAGGGGCATCTCCTTAACATTATTCAGTCATAAAATCCGAAATTCATAAAAGCAATAATACCCCAAGTTCATAATCATAAAACCAGTTCATAAATGCGGAAGCATAACAAATAATAAAACCGGTCTTATAGACCGACCACCACTCGCTCTGCTCTGCCGTCGTACCTGCCTCGCTTAACCTGAAACGTGAATTTCTGGTGGGGATGAGCATAGTTGGAAAAAGTAGTGCTCACCACTATGCAGTAAACATTATTCACAATAATGAAACAGTAATCAGTAATCAATAAGGTATGGTCTCAACATGTATACGAATCAATTAAGTATCCCAAGTTTCCGTCACAAATTCACAGTGTTCATACTCATGTGCACACCTACGCATAGACTACTGCTGGCAGACGTATTGAATGCCTTCGCTCAGGCCTTACATCGACTACCCAGCAAGT